AGTGTCCATGGAACAAGGGGATTTGCACATGCTTTCCTCCACCCCAAGTCCACCTGAAATGAGTTTATCACTCCATCAGCAGCTGGATTGCTGGAATAGGGCACAGAGCTCAGATGCTGGTCTCTGCAGGCCTGTGCACCAATTGTACCTCAAACACCTACAAAATCACCCCCATCATCTTTCTACAGCTGTGCTAAGCTTAGAAGAGGAGTTGTAAAGCCTAATGCAGGGTCCAGAAACAGATTCACACCACCAGGTCAGGGGCTGGGGCTAGGGTCTTGCTAAACCCAGCTGCACTGAAACACAAATGCAGTTTAATGAGGTGAAAGTTCTCCTACAGACAAGACCTGAGCTCTGAGCACTGCAGAGGACTTTAAAATGAAAACAAGTGGGGCTCTTGATCCCATATCCAGTGATGCTCTGGAGCAAAAGCCAATTAATACACCAAGTCTTTCTCAAGAGGTGCTTTCCCCTTAAAGCCTATTCAAATACACAGTGACTTGGAGTGGTAACTTAGGAAACACCATCAGTTTTAGTTGAAAATCTCCCCTTTTAAAACCAAGCTTTTCATAAGGGGGGAACACCAAATATATTTGGTCCGTGTTGTGACAAACCCATATAGCTCAGACCCCAGTACATTCCCTTGCGCCCTGAGACAAGGGTGCCCATTAAACAGATTTGATTCCATCCTTCCTCCTCCTGCCAGCAAAAACATCTCCAACAAGGCTCATTTAACCTAGCAAGGGAGAGTTTTCATGTTTCCTTCATTCCCAGTCCTCGCTACCATCTCTGTCCCTGCAAAGTCCTCATAGCTTCTTCCATAAGAATTAAGAGCAGCTTAAGGAGTTACTCTCACCTGATTGCCTTGCTTTTCCCCAAGAGCTTGGCAGGATACATGACAGCAAACACCCCAGCTCTCATCTTTAATGGGATACAACAGAGGATCTACAGCTGACAAATACCCAGCAGAACCCCTGTTCACGGCCATTCACCGTTCAGTGAGAGCTGGAAGAGGGCAAGCTGCCCCGACATCACATACCAGCACCTTTCAGCCCATGCTGTGACTGCTGCCATGGAGATCAGCCCTGTCCTGGAGCGCTTACCCAGAAGAAACACGAGTGTTTCCCAATGCTTCTTCCTTCTGACTCAGCTGGGAAACTGCCACAGGAGCCTGCTGGCTCCCAGCCCACCTGAGACAAAGGGCAGGAGCTGCAGCCATGGGAGAGTGTACATAGAACCACAGGACCACAGCCTGGTTTGGGTTGGAAGTGACCTCAAAAATCCTCCAGCTCCAACCCCTGCCACGGGCAGGGACACCTTCCACTGGAGCAGCTTGCTCCAAGCCCCTGTGTCCAACCTGCCCTTGAACACTGCCAGGGATGGGGCAGCCACAGCTTCTCTGGGCACCCTGTGCCAGCACCTCAGCACTCTCACAGGGAGCAGTTTCTTCCTTATATCCAACCTGAACATCCTCTATGTATATAACAACCAACTTCTCAAGCTGCAAACCCCACCCACCGCAGGCTTTCACCAACCCAGCCACTCATTCTGAGGTTTAAAACCCACTATCCTTGTTCATATATATCTATTTAAGTACATACATACCACAATCAGCTTTCAGCAACAGTGCAACCTGAGAAAGGCCTCCAAACCTCAGCACTGCCTGGTCAGCATGCTTGTGATACATCCAGCCCTATCAAAGGGGATGGCAAAGCCAGGGAGCAAAGGCTGCTCAGTCCCACCAGCTACTACTGCTGTAGGGCAAGAGCAGCTCATTACTACTGCTATAAGTTCATTAGCATTTTACCTTTCAGGCAGAACAGAGAGAAGAGAGCTGCATGGGAAAGACCTTCACCACCTTGAGAGAGCCCTAGGCTTGCCCTAGCTCTATATATATGCCCTACAACTTGTGATGGCAATTGTAGGGAGGGAATGAGGAGCACCTGCAGGCACCCTGCAGGATGTGGCCCATTGCATTTGCCTCACAACACACCCTTTAGCAAGTGTTGTTTGCATTCAATTGCCTTTACAGCACTAAATCCCAGAGTGGTTTGGGTTGGAAGGGACTTCAAAGCTCCTCCAGCTCCAACCCCTGCCACGGGCAGGGACCCCTTCCACTAGAGCAACTTGCTCCAAGCCCCTGTGTCCAGCCTGGCCTTGAGCACTGCCAGGGATGGGGCAGCCACAGCTTCTCTGGGCAATGTTCAAATCCCAGTCTCTGGCTCCCTCTCCTGCACTTTAGAGTTAATGAAGGAGTGGACAAAAAGCCCTGACACATGGAGCATCCCAAACCTGGTCTCACCTCCCCTGTCCTGTCCCTTGGAGCGTGGCGTATCCTCACTGCAGATGCCAGGAAGCCCGATTCCCAAAGCATCTCTGGAAAGCTGGAAATGATGGTGAGACCCATGGTGGCTCACACTGCCCCAGCAAGGCTCATATAGGGGGGAAAAATATACATGATTTGGTTTTTTATGAATACCATACAACAGCGGTGGTATAGAAGGAGATGCTTGTGTATCCTCACGCAGCTTGCCATGGGGGATGTCCTGCCCTGGCCGCATCTGTGGGACACGTCAAGAACTCTCAGTGGGGATTTCAGAGTCAACATCACCTTCCTCATCCTCTCCTGGGGGTACAGAGGAGCAAGGAAGGGTGACAATGAAGCGTAAGTGCTGGTTAAGCCCAGCAGGGTAAAGATCTGGGAGGCAGCACAACAGGGCCAGGGCCACATGGTCCCATCTGCCCTGCTCTCCCCCATCTCTTCCTGATGCCCTGTACACAGGAGGGCTGGGCAGTGCATTTATCACTGCCCAAGCCCTGTTCTCCCCACCCCTCTTCTCAACGGAGCCGCACTCCTCCTCCTCTCCTTCAGACTTCATCCCACACAGTTCAATTTCAATGGTGACAACAGGCATCAGGCAAAAACCCGCTTGTGCAAAGCAGTGCTGATGTGAGGAGGTGGGACCAGACGTAGGTGTGTGCCCACAGGCACTCCCTGTAACAGCTCCTCACCTCCTCCCATCACCACACAGCTCCATCAGCAACTTGCAAAGCTCAGACAAGCGCAGCCTCCCTGTTTCCCTCCATCCTTCAGGCTTAGAAGGACACGTGCCATGGAGAGAGCTGCTGGTGGCCATGACAAATGGTACCCTGAATGAGCACCATCGAGGGGAAGCGGGATCCAGACATGTAAAACACACTCCTGTGTCACCAGGTTGCTATAAACACATCCACAGCCCAGGATAAACACCTGTGGAAGCAGGAACCAGCTTTTGCCTGGCCCAACCCACCTGAGCCAGCCCCTTAGGAAACCTGCACAGAAGGATGTGCCAGGTAGTATGAAATGGATTAATGCAAAGCTGCTCCTTGCATAAGATGCTATTGGTACCACTGACTTCCTGCATCGACAGACAGAGGATGGATCTCCCTGAGCTGGTTGCTGCTGCATCACTTCATTTTTCTTGGCACTTGGAGGCTCAGCGCTTCCCAACAAACCCAGGATCTGTGGGAAGGTGCCAGTCCCCCATGGGACGTGTTCCCAAGACAAGCACTGCTGCTGGGTGCACCCGCCAGCAGATGGGACATGCTGGGACCGGCCTGGGCAGAGCTGCACCTCACCCCACTGGCAGCAGGACCAAGCACACCTCCTTCCCTTGCTGGTTACTGAGCTGTAAGGCCGTAAGATGGATAGCAGGAAGAGAACAATGGCAAAAGGAGCCCTGCCCACCCCAGCGTGCACCTCCTGCTCCAATCACTGCTCTTCACACATGGCAGGAGCAGCCCAGCCCATTGCCTATGGCCCTTAATTGACACTTTCAGTTTATCTTTGATCACATAGGTCCCGAGAGGAGATCTCATTTCTGAGATGTTTCTGGCTTTGGGAAAGGCCATTTTTAACACAGAGTAGTTACTGCTCACCTTCTATAGAAGATAAAAATTCTTGGTAGGTGCAGACCAGGATTGTCTCCTGGCTGTTGTAGGGATTAGCGGCTCTACAGCCATGGAAACAGGAGGATAAAGGGGGTTGCATTTGGAATACATTAGAACCGCCTGTCTGCATCCCTCACTGGGGATCAGGGGAAAGTGTGTGAGATGAACAGAACCGGTTTCTCAGAGCTCACTCCCAGGGCAAGTTTCATTCAGCTGCCCCGCAGCACCAGCCAGGCCAGTTCTGCCTTTGCACTGGTCTCACTGGTGTCTTCTCCAGCTTTGGTGCCCATACCAAGGATCCAAACCACCAGGAGGCACAGGGAGCACCCCATGGAAGTGACCCATTGGAAGGAGCCTGATTGGCAGCCTGTGGGTCCCCATGGGGGGCACACATAGCCCCGACCATAGGAGAAGGGGCTCTACCACAGGCACAGGTCCCTGCTTCGCCCTCCCACATCACTCACAGCACCAGCGCCGCAGGGATCTCCACGACACAGAGACAATGGGTTACTAAAAGTGTTGTATTTGTAGGCCAGTATTAATCTGTGCTATTCCTATTTGCTGTCTATTAATCCCCATGTCATAGAACCATGAGTTAGGGTTGGAAGGGACCTTCATGACCTTCATGGTCACTGGCAGCTGTGTCACTGGCAGTTGAATCTGAGTGAGGCAGACTTCACAGCAGGCTGGCAAGGTAGAGCAGCCGCAGTTTCTCTTCTTTTCCCTTCTCAGCCCTGCCCAGGGAAGGGCTTTGGTGACTGTTCTTCCCCCGGACCACAAAGGCAGTGCCTGTTAATCAGTAACCACGGGAGCAGAGCTGATTCAGGTTGTGCTGCTGAGCACGGGTCAAGCTGGGAAAGGAAAACTGCTGCACCAGTGACTTCATGTCCAGTGTTTCCTGGGCTGAGGGATTGTTTCCCAGCACATGGACCAACCCAGAGCCCTCTGGATACAGCGCAGTCCCTGCAATAGCATCACTTCGCTGGACACGGATGTGTTGGGATGCAGATGCTGCTCGTGGTCCTGTCTCAGAGCACACACCAGCAGGGCTGCAAGGTGCCCACTGTCAGTGATGCCAGTGGGGGTGGATGAAGCTCTTCTGCAGACCCTCCATGACCACCTTCACCAGCAGGAAAGGAGACTTGTCCAGCTGCAACCAGGGACTGAATGAGGGGCTGAGCGAACCCCTGACCTGCACAGACAGCTTTGCCTGGGCACAGGTCAGCTCAAAACAGGCTTTTCCCCTGGGATGCCTGCTCCGATCTTCCTCTTTCCCACAGACTGAGCTGGGTTCAGATCGAGCCTTCCACAGAATACTAACACAGGGTTGGGAAGTAGCCGCTGTTCCCCTTTCATTCAGGACTGCAGCCCTGCTGCCAGAGAGACATCTTACAAAGGGGCTTTGGCTCGCTCCTGCGATCCCTGGTTTTCCAGCCATGCAGAGGACAATGATGTTGTTCATGCCCCAGGACTGTCAGCCCTGGCCAAGCACCCCACAAGCCCTGCCTGAGCGTGAGTCCCACTGCAGTGTGGGGTTCCTTGGAGCCACACGTCCCTTGGGATGTGCTGTCCCCGCTCAGGGGGCAATGGCAGACGGCTGCTTCCTCTGCTCCTGCCTCATCTTCAGAGCCAGCATCGCCCGGTGGTACAGATCTGCAGGAGGGAAGTGGTCAGGGCTGAGCACAGGGGCAGCTTCCGGGCCCAGCAGGCAGCCTGTGCTGAGCAAGGACACTCAGGCTCCAGCACAGGGCACTCGTGTGGCCTCCCCACATCCCAGAGGTGGCTCATCTGCCTCCCCAACAGCCCCCCCCGCCCTGCAGCAGCACTTGCTTGTGCTGTCCCCACACCAAGCACCCCATGGCCAAGGGCTCCTGCACACCTTATGCCCCTTTGCTACCAGGACAGACCCCAAGTGCTTTTCAGCAACATCTGCCCTGGGAAATACGAACCGAAGGTGCTTGAGACCTCCTCATGCTGCTGCTCCACGGCAGGATCCTGCGACTTGATTTTATTCTTGATTTTCTTCTTCTTTTTCTTCTTCATGGCCTGCACTGGATGAAGAAATGCACAATGTCAGGAGCTACACCAGAGCAGGGATGCGATTGTCACCAAATCAGCTGAGAGGACTGCTGCTGGTGCAGTCCTCCATCACCTCCACACATCAGCCCCTGCAGAGATGCTCTGGGATGTCTCTCTTCTTCCCAGCTGGATCTTTGCGACCCTGCTCTGTGCTCAGCTGATCTGCAACCAAAGCTGATGGAGGTGGCAGGGACCGGTGGCGCAGCACACTGCGGTGTTGTCCCCAGAACACCCTGTGGGGTGGCTCTGGGGTCCCTATGTGCAGTGCAGCACCGCAGCCCCTCTCACCTGGGTGCGGGGTGGCCATCACAGTGGGAACCAGCTCCTCCTGCCCAACCCTGTTGGGGGGCAGCAGCCCCCCGGCAGCCCCCGCTCGGCTGTCACCCCCTCCTCCTGGTCCCTCCGGCTCCTCGGCTGGGCTTGGCTGCCCCAGGCCCTTCTTCCTCACCTTCACCTTCCTCTTCTTCCTCCCGGCGCCCTTAGCGCTGTCCTCCTGGGCAGGATAAGGGGGGGTGAGGGAAGGCGTCGGAACTCCCCTTCCATCCCATCCCACCCCATCCCATCCCATCCCATCCCACCCCATCTCATCCGAGGGGGGGCTCTCACCAGGGGCAGGAGGCGAGGCACGGGCCGCGGCGGCCGGTACTCTCCCGTTATCCCCGTGCCCTCTCGGGCATCCTCCGCGGGGAGCGGTGGGTCCCTGCTGGGGCGAGAACACAGAGAAGGATGGGGATGGGGACAACGGGAAACAGGGACGGGCACCCCAGGACCCCCGTACCAACCTGCGGGCGGGCTGGCGGCTGCGAGCTGCCCTGGGGCCGGGGTCGGGCAACGGAGCGGCGGCGGGCGGTGGGGCTGGGGCGGCGGGGATGGTGCGGAGGAGCCAGCGCAGCCCCTGCAGCGTGGTGCGGGGCGGGCCGGAGGAGGGGCCCCGCTTGGCGGCACAGGGCTCCTGCGGTGGAGGGGCACGGTTAACCCCGACGGGCACCGCGGAGCGGGCACCGGGAGCGGGGCAGCCCCGCACTCACGATGCGGCAGGGAGAGCGGTTCTCGTTGACCAGCCGCTCCAGGGACAGGCGCTCGATCAGCTCGCAGGGCAGCAGGGCAGACGCTGTGTCTTGCTTGTTGGCCAGCCTAGGACATGGGGAGAGAGAAGCGTGACCATCACCGCGGCCTCTGGGCGTCTGGCCGCAGGGAAGGCTGGATGCTTTCTCCCCGTTTGGCTATGATTAGGTGAAGTGTTGCCCAAGCCTTTACCAGGCACTGAAACCCCATCCCCAGGGATACCCCTAGAGCATCACTGGGGTCCCCTTGTCCCAGCATCCTCTCAACAGCCCCTTAGGTACCACATCCCTTCAGCATCCAAGTCGCACACCCCACAATCCCAGCAACGAGTCCCCGCTCCCTCCTTCACCACGAACCCTGCAGGTCACATCTCTGGGACCCAGCCTTACAATAAGAGGGGCTTCCCGGAGACATCAGGGTGGCTCAGGACGCGGCTCAGGACCCTGCGAGCCTCCTCCATCCGTGCCAGGTCGCTGGAGTCCAGCACGAAGAGGAGCCCATGGGCTGCGCTGTAGTGACTGCGCCAGGCGCTGCGGGAGCGCGGGGCCCCGGGCAGGTCCAGCAGGGTCACCTCGAAGCGCTCCACCCTCAGGCGGGTCTGGCCGGGCTGTGCCGTGGGCAGCACCTCGCTGGGCAGCGCTGTGAGCAGGAGAGGGCAGAGAGCCGGTGCAGTGAGCCCGCAGCATCCCTGTGCTGTGTGCCTCCTGCTCCCGATCCCACTGCCGGCAGCAGATGGGGCTTGGTCCTTCAAGGCTCAAGCTCTTGGTTGCAAAGGACCATAAAGCTGCTGCCTCCAGCCAAGGCTGGCTCTGGGGCAGTGCAGCTCCTTACCTCTGTCTAGGTCCATGATGACGGAGGTTTTCCCAGCGTTGTCCAGCCCCAACACAAGGAGTGTGACCTTCCTGTGGAGTGACAACGGGATGTGCGCATCCCAGAGAAAGGCTGTGCTCCCTTGGGGACCACTGACCACTGCTGGCTCCAGGGCTTCTATGATTAAATCCTACCCCAGGACAGAGGCAGGATGGTGACACAGGCTACGGATGAGCTGAGGATGAGGGCAGGCACAGGCTGCTGGAACCCCTCCCAGCACAACGGGACAGCCACAATGGGGAGCCTTCAACGTGCTATGTACAGCAAGGATTCCTTTTCATATCACAGAGGATTAAGCAATGATATACACAAGCCAAAATGATTGCTCCTTACACGCAAACAGTTAATGATTGCTCTTTGTGCCCCTCCTTGTCAGAGGGCTGGGGGTTCACGCAGCCAGGGAGAGGTAGCAAGGACATTTTATGAGCATCTGCCTGGGCTCAGGAGGTTTTTCCTGCTGCTAAACCACCCTGTTTGGTCTGCAGCGATGCACAGAACATTTCCCCTGGTGTTGAGAAGCCTCAGCAGCGATTCCCAGTGTTGTTTGCTTCCTTAAACACACTGTGGGTGTGCCAGCCCTGCTGCTGGCATTACAGCAACGTGTCCTGGTTGGCAGGACAAGGCCATAAACCCTCTCACTGCTGCAGGGTCTGCCCAGGCTGGGGCAGCGCCATCCCCAGGGAATTAACCCGGGTCTCCCAACACATGCAAATCCCAGCCTGCTTTGGGTTGGAAAGGACCTCAAAGCTCCTCCAGCTCCAACCCCTGCCACTGGCAGGGACCCCTTCCACTAGAGCAGCTTGCTCCAAGCCCCTGTGTCCAACCTGCCCTTGAGCACTGCCAGGGATGGGGCAGCCACAGCTTCTCTGGGCACCCTGTGCCAGCGCCTCAGCACCCTCACAGGGAAGAGCTTCTGCCTAAGAGCTCATCTCAGTCTCCCCTCTGGCAGGTTAAAGCCATTCCCCTTGGCCTGTCCCTTGTCCAAAGCCCCTCTCCGGGTTTCCCTTCAGGAATCCACATCCTCCCTGGCTTTTCCAGGAAGCCGCTGACACCGCACAGGGGGAATCCCACTGGCAGTGCTCCCACCCCTGCCTGCCCAGCTCCTGCCTGTGAGGACACACGTGTGCCTTGCTCCGCAGCTGGGGTCAGTCCCCGCAATGAGCACAGCTCTGCAGTGCTCCTGCATCAGTGCCCTCACTGATAAACTCATGGATAAATCCCTCCGGGAATCCCCAAGGAGAGCACACAGGGACCTACCTGATGGGCTCCTGTATGGCCTGCAGCCACGACCAGCAGTGGGAGAAGAGGTGGAACATGCTCCGTGGGGAGGGCTGGCTTCTCTTCAGCACCTATGAAGTGAGGAGCCTGCTGTGTCCCCATGCTTCATCCTCTTCTGTTCTCCACATGTCAGGGAGCACCTCACCCCATTCCCAGCCCCACTGGCGATGCCCCATGGGTCTGGACCCCCATCAGCCCCTTCTTGCATCCAAGCAGCCTCTTACCTTCTCGTCCCTGCTGTGCTGGCCTCTCACATCCCCTTTGCTCAGCATCTGCTTAAACCTAATCTGGATTTAAATGGTTTACTCTTCGCAGCTTCCCTAATCCCAGTGGGTCGTCCCAGGCCGGTGGCCACTGGGACATGGAGTGCCATGGGGCTGCCCACCACATTGGGTGGCATGGCACAGCATGGCACAGCACTGCATTACCCACCTGGCTGCTTTGTGTCTCCATCAGTGGCTTAAGTGGCAGGGACGTGGCCTGGCAGCCATGGGATTGTCAGATGAGTTAATGCCTGCTCTATCCAATAGTGCCCCTGGCTTCTTGCTGCCTAATCCCTGTGTGGATGCTTCTCTGTGGCCCCACATGGCGTGCACGGCTCCATTGCCCACCCTCTGTGCCAGGCTGTGAGACATCACTGCTCACTGCTGGTCCTTCATGCTAATGACGCACACCCTGAGCATCAATAGGTCCTGTGCTGCCTGCAAGAGGAACACCAACCAGCCCAAGCAGGCACCTGGCTGGGAGCAGGGAGGTGGTGGGGACCCTCAGACAATGGGGCAGGGAATAAAAAGCTCAACATGAGCTGGCAGTGTTCAAATCCAGGTTGGACAGGGCTTTAAGGTCCCTTCCAACCCAAACCGCTCCATGACTCCATGATTCTATGACCCGAGACCTTCCAAAGCCACACTGGGGACCAAACAAGGATCCCACCAGCTCACCTGGGTCTGTGCTAAACCACCCAGCGCCAGCAGCACTACCTTGACCATCAGAGCCTCAGCCACGTGCCAAGGATGCTGAGATGCTTCGAGGTATCCCACAGCTCCTTGGTGACCCAGGGAGCAAGCCCAAGCACAGCCCCTCACCGCAGCCTCACACACTGCACTGGGTGAGGAGCTGCCCAGAGCCACACCATGGGCAGGGAGCCGCTGGTGGTTAATGATTGATGAGGTTCCTGCACCGTATCACAGCCACACACAACAATCTTTGGGGCTGTTGTTCACCCCATGCTGCTGATGGGACACAGCCCTGTCCCCAGTCAGCTCCTGTTATGTTGGGAGCAGTTGTTCCCATTATGGGACCAGCAGCAGTGCCAGGTTTGCAGGAAGCTTTTTGCTGTACCAGAATTAGCTGCACCAGGGCCAAAAGGACTTGCTGGAAGCGATAACGCCTGCCTTTGCACCTAGGGGTAGCACTGCCAGTGAGAGCCAGGCAGGGGCCGGGAAGAGGTATGACCAGAGGATGTTATCCATAGGGATTGCCACGTGTCAGGCAGCCCTGGAGGCACGCACAGCCTCCTGAGGGGCAGCAAGAGCTGGTGTCCCTCCAGCGCCAATGGATTTCCAGAGCAATGGGTGCTCTGCTGCTGTTAACACAAGTGCCCCGAATCCCTGGTGCCAGCGACTGGGAACCCCCGGGAGCCTGGAGCAGCTCCAGGTCACCTCCCCACGTACCACAATGGGCACAGAGGCTGGGAAACCCTCCAAACCCATCCCAAACCTGGCAGAACCCTCCCTTGAATCCCAAGCGGTGGCGTGAGGGCCATGCCCAGCTCCATGGGCTCAGGTTGCAGAGCAGAGACTGGCCCTCATCCCATAGAGACACGCAGAGAGCAGAGGGAGCCCCTCATCCAGCACGGCAGGGACCCCCCGGGCAGTGCCAGTGGGTACCCGCCGCCTGGGTTTCCTTGGTGACTGTTGCCAGGTGAGAAACTCCGAGGCAGAATCTATCCTCTTGGTGGATAACTGGAGGTGTTCCTCGCTGGAGCCATCACCGGAGCCCCCCAGGGAAGGCTGTGCCCGGGGCACTGGGGCTGCTCAGCCCCTGGCATCGCTTCCCGGAAGGCAGCACGTGTTTTGGGGCTATTTCTGCCTCGCTGGAGTGCCGCGGGCGAGGGAAGGAGGCGAGAGCACAGGACGGAATTGGAGCACAGATGGACACGGGCTGGCGGGCTGCCCTGCCTTGGCTTCACTAGACCCTGTGAGTATGTACCCGAGCTGGCGTCAGGAACCCCGATGAGACCCCAAGGTGAGGGGCTGAGTGAGGGGGACGGCAGTGGCAGAGATGGGGAGCTTGCACATGAGGAATGATGGCTTGCAAGGGAAAGCAGTGACCAGTGCAGTGCTATGGGGGCTGCCTGTAGCATTTATCGTGGGGTGATGAAAGCCGAGGTGATGGCAAGGACAATAAAGCCTGGCAGGAATATTTCCAAGCTGTTCTGCTTTGCTTGGGATCGCATCGACTGTGGCCAAAAAAGCAGGGCGAGGGCATGCCCAGCCTTTGGGGAGGGACTCATCTCTCTGTTGAATGCCTCCGAGGCGGCACACGAAGGCAGCGCCGAGAGATGCGCCGTCCCTTTAAATCCCAGCACGGCTCTGGTGGTTACCGATAACCCGGATCCTACGAGCTCCTAAATCCCAAGAGCTAATTACAGACGAAGGCCCCGCGGTCAGGCTGGAAATGCAAGATAATTACAGCCTGTGCCACGCAGACCTGGTGGCAATGGGCACCGGGGGTGTTTGCTGGCACGGTGGCAGGGAGTAAAGCAGGATTGCACCATGGCTTCCACACCGGCACCAAGCACAGTGGAATCCGGTTGTGTTCCCCACCACCAGCCCAGCAACCACTCTCTGAGCTATTTTAGGCACAGAAAGTTGCTTTTCTAGAGCTCTCTTTGCTCCCCCTCCATCACTACCACCACCCCGCAGCAGGCACAGGCACAGGGGAGGTGTGTGCAGGGAGCTGGGTGCTTCTAACCCCATTTCCAGATGGGTGCTTCCCAGCCAGAGCACACACAAATTCCCAGCAGAGGCTTGGATTTGACTGGGGTCTGTGTCATTCCCTGGCGCCTGCGGAGGATGCCAGCTTTATGATGCCCCTTTGAAGGCTACAAGCCCTACCTAGGCTCCTACAGTGGTTTTGCTGAGAGCATTACAGTGCAGCGAAGGACAGTGTAACCCATCCCTCCGGCCTGCCAGGATGCCTGGGCATGTGCAGTGCCTCCTGGCTGGGTAAGCAGGGTGAGCTGTATACTCTTACAGGAGGCGGGACCAGAGGAATCGGTTAATTAAAGTCATTTTAACCCTTCCTTCCCTGGTTTACTGTTACAGCATCACCCGGTGCCTGAGCTGGGACTGTACCCAAAGAGGCACCACCTATAACTATCGCAAACACCTATAAATGTGTTGAAGTTACCTTGAAGATGGTAACTCTTTCCTCGTTAAAGAATTGAAGCCAGGAGTGGCTTGGCCCATGCCAGAGGAGCACAGGGTGCCTGCTTTATGGGCCTAGCCCTGCCGCGAGATACAGAGGGATGAGCTCCTCAGGGCAGCCATGAGTTTATATCCCAGCAGGATAAGGGGGAGAAGCTGCATGAGGAACTGGGCTGGTAAAAGCAGTCTCATGATGAAGTAAACGGAAAGAAATATTTCCCCAACCAGAAACTATTCCACAGACAGCTGGGGCAGGAAAATAGGCAGCTGAGTTACTGAGGCAGCGATGCAGAATCCAAACAGCTCAGGCTGTCAAAACCAGCAAAGCTATTTCCAAACTAAGTAAAGCATTCCCGGCTCAGAGATTCCTGGGAACACGGTGAGGTCCCTGCTCAGGGCGTGCGGAGCCAGGGAACACTGATTTCCATCTCATCCAGCACGTCCTCGCCATCGCTCCATGCTGTTTAATCCTCCTCGGAGCGTGTTGCCGGGGTGGTTTGGGGCCGAAAGGGCAGCGTGGTCCCCACACCCCCCGCTCCACGCTAAGTGCTGGGCTATATTTGGGAAGCCGGCACCGTGCGCTTGGCTCCGAGAGCCGCTCCGGGTCCTAGTGCGGTGCGGCAAGGACCGGAGAGCAGAGCCCGCGGGCTGCGATCCTACCTGGGCTCTTTAAGGGCTCTGGCAAGGAGCTGCCTCCCATTCCCATTTCTTCTCCTTTTACAGGAGCTGAGCCGCCAGGCATGTGTAAAGCACACACGGCTATTTTCAGAGCTGGAGCCTGCTCCCACCCCACGCTCAGCCCAGGCTCTCATAGGCATCAAATCCCGGCAGGCAGACACCCCTGCCACAGCCCCGGGTTCAATGCGTGTGAACACCGGGACTGACAAAATAATGCAGGCTGGGATTAAGAAAACAATGGAGCTGGGATGCTCTCCAGCACTGACATCCGGCACTGGTGGCAGGACTTTGGGAACCCCATGGCAGGCGGTTGGAACTGGATGAGCTTTAAGGCCCCTTACAACCCAAACAGAAGTGAACCATTGAAACCCCTTCACTTTCCTAAGTGGTCCTAGAGATGCCAGCACAGTCCCCGTCTGTTTGGCACCTTGGCTTATATCCTGATGGGCACTTCCATGCTAGTTCTGCATCACATTCACCCCATCCAGCCCCAGTTCTGCTCCAGGGTTCTGGCCCAGCATCCAGGCACTGCAGATGGGGACACAAGGGTGGGATATCCTTCAGTGTCACTAAAGCCGTGCTGGGATTGCAGGCAGAAGAACGGGTCCAGGGAGCGGCGGTGGCAATGGGGACAGGGTGTTTGGTGCTATCTGTGACACAGGGAGTGTTTATGGCCTGCTGTTTACACCGCGGCCAGGTAGGGTTAGGCTGGAGGGGTGACTCACAGCGTGCACCAGAACACAGCCCGCTGCTTGGGTCAGAAAATGGGATAATAGCTGGTGTGGGAAGCGCGGTGAGGCTTCATCCCGCCATTCCCATCATGGGCGCCGGCGCTCCCTGAAGCAGGTCTGGAATTCTTGAGTGCTTAAACAATTGCTCATTTCATCACGAAACAAGGGAAGATGAAATCATCAATGGGATGAGTCGGAGCCCAGGCATTGCTCAGCCGAGGGCTTGGTGCCCTGCCAGGCTCCTGGGGGATGCTTTTAATTTGGATAAATGGAAGTTGCATAAATGGTGTGAGTTGCCCCTTGCTCTGCTACTACAGAGGTGTGGGCACAGTTGGCAGTGCCCTGTCACTGTCTGAGTGCCCATCCAGGCCTATGCGCAGCTCCCATCCGGGTATCCACAGCATCCGGCTCCTTCCTTTGGATGCTGTTCCCTTTGCCCTCTGTCCCACTGGGGTTCTTTTTGGAGAAGCTGTTTCCAAAACCAGCTGGAAAATACATGATTGTCATACCAGAGCTGAGCAATGACACGTGGGTCCCTGTCTGCGCCGGTCAGGCCAGTCCCTGTGAGCTCATGGTGTTTGTGGCTTCCCAAAGCAGCTCCTCAGCTGCTTGGAAGGAAAAGTGCTGAGACCGGGATTGCTTCTGAGTGAGAGCTGCCATTGGGGAGACGCAGCCTTGGAGGGCTCAGATGGTTTCATTCCCAGCTTTGCCACTGATAAGCCCGGTAAAAGAGGGGGAACTTGTGTGGGGGGCTTGGGAGGGTTCATGCTTTTGGCTTGTATGGGGCTGGGTGAGTGATGGATGCAGCGTGGGCACCTCCCTGTGAGAAGGTCTGGCTGCTGAGGGATTTAAAAGCTACCTAAGACTGGAAGTCTGCCTAAACCAGGGGAAAACAGCTGACCTCAAACGCTCCGTGCCTTGTCCCACCTCTCCCAGACAGCCAGCGTGTGCCCAGGCTGGACTGAGTAACCTGGCAGGCAGTGCATGCTTGGGAAGGCAGCACATGGGCATCATGGTGCCAGCACCACCGCTTGTGAGGGAAAGGCAGGGGTGAGGGTCTCAGTGCATGATGGGCAGAGCAGGGACCTCATGGCTGCGTGGTGACTGAGGTGTGGGGCTCAGCTTGCTGCCCTGGGCTGAACCACAGACACAGTGGATGTGGGGCTGAATGGTGGGCTCAGCAAAGGCTCCATCAGTGAGGTCATATATCCCATCACCTTGAAAGTGTGTTCTTGAAGGCAATGGGAAAAGCACCCTGTTGCTCAGCTGTAGGACAGTGTGGTCTTTACTAATTCCTACCTGGAGCTGGGAGCATCCAGGATGCAAGAGCCACATCTCTGCTGTAACACCCTCCTCAGACTTCGAGACCCACCCCAGCTGCCTGCAGACCCAAAGGGATGCCCCTGCTGCAGCTCAACTTGCTTAATACCAGCCTGCTCCCTGCCCCGTGGTGGGACCCCGCTGTCTCTAGGGATGAGAGCCCTTGTCTGGGTGGCCCCCCCATGTAGCGGCACTTTGGGGTGCTGATGGCTGCCAGGACACAAGGGAGCCAGGACTTTGCAGGGAGGTCCCAGGGAGGGTGCTTGGGGGCTGCAGGGGGGGCTGGCAGGGCTATGGCTGATGGGGTTGTGGGTGCTGCTGGGGTGCCCTGGGCTGGTGGGGTGGTTTGGGGTGGGGGTCCTGGCCGTGTTGGGGATGTCCTGGAATGGGGGCACCCGGCAGAGGCAGGGAAGGAGGATCCTGGGATAGGGGAGCTGGGGCTCCTCGGGCAGGGGCCTCCACACGGGTGGGCACCCCGGTACCGCACCGGGAGGGTCCCTGCCCGGGGTGTCCCGCCCCCTGCTCCGGTCGGGGCGGGCCCTTAGGGCTGCCGGTGCGTCCCGTCCCCGCCCCGCCGGGCTCGGCTCGGCTCGGTGGGGCCGGGGCAGGGAACCCGCGGCGGCACGGAGCGGCGGGGGAGCCCCGCTCCGCCCTGAGCGCGGCTCCTCTCCCCTCTGCAGCCCGGGATGTGGCCGCGGCGGGGCTGAGCGGCCGGGCCGGGGCCGCGATGGACGGCCCGAGCGGGGGCTGCCCGCCCGCCGCCCCGCTGCGGCCGAAGCTGCCGCTCGGCATCGTGTTCTCGACGGCGCTGTTCTGCGGGGAGAGCGCGGCCGCCGCCGTGCTCTGCTTCTCCTACAGCCACTCCGACGACCGCTTCTGGCTGGCGCTCACCATCTTCTTCATGCTCTGCCCGTCCGTGCTGGTGCAGCTCACGCTCATCTTCGTGCACCGCGACATCAGCCGCGACCGGCCCCTCATCGGGCTCATGCATCTGCTCCAGCTCGGGCCCATCATCAGGTGAGCGCAGCGGGGATGCGGGGACCCCCGGCAGGGATGCGGGGATACCCTATAGAGATGAGGGGACCCCCCCCCAGCAGGCACCGGGTGAGAGCAGGGTCTCTCCCGGCAAGCCCGGAGCTGCTCCTGATGTGTCCCCATCCTGTTCCTCCCTGGGGGCTCTGCTGCTCCTGTCCCATGGGGGTCTTGTGCTCGGCCACCTGCACCCGGTGGTGCCACGGTCCTCCCCAGGGGTTGCTGCCTGCTCTCCTCCAGGCACGACTCGGCTCTGCCAGCCTGTTGCATCTCAGCTGCTCTAAAGGCTCTTCCTACTGCTGCTTCCTGCAGCCCAACTGCTCCCTTTGCCTCTGGGTTTTGTCCTGTTCTTGCTTAGGCTGGCAGCACAGATGTAAATCCTGGCTGCGTGCTTGAGGTGACATGGGTCCTGCCCCCCCCTCCAAAGGTCCCCAGTCCTGGTGCCAGCTTTGGGCCGTGGAGAGAGGGGCTTGGTGCAGGAGTGGGGCTGGTGTGGAAGCTGGGGTCCGCTGAACCATGCTGGGAGAGGAGGTGGGTGTTGCACAAGCCAGAGAAGTGCTGATCTCTCACTGCTTGGGAATGCTGTGGAGCCTCCCTGGGCTGTGCCACCCCGGGCACCCTGCTCCATGAGAGCACACAGAGGGTGCTATGGGCAGCATGGCAGAGCCACCATCTCCAACGGGTCCTGCCCCAAGGGCACACTTTGGGGCACACCATGGCCTGTACCACACTTCCTGTGGCACCAGGAACAAGCAGGGTGCTGGAGACATCCTTGTTGTGATGTTTCATCTTCAGAGGGTACCGGGGAGCCTCACCTCGGTGCCATCAGCCGTTTGATGGGCTGTGGGGGCACATCAGCCCATGCTGACCCATGGTGATGCATCAGATGATGATGATAGTACTTGGCCACTTGCAAGAGCCAGCCAGAGATGCTCAGGGAAGGCTGCTCGCTGGGCTGGTAATGGAGCTGAGAAGGTCTGGCAGGGCACTGGGACTGCTGGGACTGCTCATGGAGCCAGACTTTATGGACTGAGCCGTTTTCCCGTTAGAGGTTGCAGTGAGCCATGAGCGTTGGCCTCATCTGGCAAGAGAACGTACCCAGAAACCTCATTCCATTTGGGTCTGAAACAGAGCAACTTCTGCTGCCCTAATGAGCACTCACAGATAATTACATCCCATTGGCCCCAGAGCCAGCTCATCCCTGGGTGGGAGCCAAGCCTCTTGGATGGGTCCTCCTCTGCTGATTGCCTCCAGCCCGTGCACCCCACTGCATGGCTGTGTGTGGAGGGGAGGGGGGTCCTCCCTCGTGGCAGGAACCCACATCCCCTGCGCACACATGAGGGTGTCCTGCGGGGAAGCGGTTGCGGAAGCGCTCTCTTATCTCTCCATGGCACACACAGCTTCACCCTGCGCTCCCCTTCCTGCCATCCCCACCAAGGAGGAAACGTAGAAGCCTTCTACAAGAGGAGAGATCAAAAGTGGTATCAGAAGCTTCTCTCACCTCTGCTTAGAGGAAGGCATGCTTTTTGTGTCAGTGAGGGAAACGGAGCCCAAGAGTGATGAACAACTTCCTGTAGCTCTCATTCTGAGAAGAGCTACGGTTTTGTACCCTGGATGCTGCCCTTCTTGCATCAGTTGTTGCATCCCTCGCTGGGGTGGTTGTTGTCCCCCTGCCCTACATGCTTCACCCTGAGTGCTGGAGCAGAGAAGTGACCACCGGGCATCCCCACGGTCCTGGTGTGACCCTGTCCTCATCCTGATATCCTGCCCTCATCCTGACATCCGAAGGCCAGGGACTGCCCGCAGCACTACTGAATGCTCACTCACATCATTTGGGCTGCTCTCAGCAGGGTCAGGGTCCATCCAGCACTGGGTGAAGAGGGTCTGGATGCACTGGGGGGGGGGGCACATGAGGCTGTGGGTGACACTGCCACATCCTTGCAGGTGCATGGAGGCTCTGCTGGTGTACTGCTGGTCGGGGAGGCAGGAGGAGCCCTACGTCACCATCACCCGCAAGCGGCGGCTGCGGAAGGGCTACGAGGTGGAGATGGAGCAGGAGATGGGTCACTCGGAGCGGCGCCTGGCCACGCACCGCAACGCCTTCAAGCGCATGGCGGTCATCCAGGCCTTCCTGGGCTCCACGCCGCAGCTCAGCGTCCAGCTCTATATCAGCATCCTGGAGAAGTACGTCCCTGCTGCCCGAGGTAAGGGTGCCTGGTGTGTGGGGACCCACAGGGACAGGCCCCATAGCTATGGGTGGTGGTTGGCGTCCCACAGAGCTCTGCGGGGATGGTGGCCACTGGATAACGTGGAGCACGACCTGCACTCATCCATCCCTGGTTTGCTTTTCCCACTCTGTGCTCTCCACCTGGATGTGACGCTTGGGAAAGCGGGAAGAGCTGGACATGCTACTCCCAGCCCTGCTGCTCACAGATATCTGCACTACAGGGCCATCCATGCACCCAGTGGCCTGTCCCATGAAAATGCCATGTCCCTGCCCCACGTTGCTCCAGTCTGCAGCAGTTGTTGTTGTTTTCCAGCCAGCTACATGCTCTGGCTTCCTCACAGCCCCTCTATTGGATCTATTTCCAATGACAGAAATAGATCAAGTAGAAATAGATGGAAATAGAATAGAATGCTCTGGGTTCCTCACAGCCCCTCCGTTGGATCTATTTCTGCGCCTCTCCCAACAGCCGCAGCTCCCAGTCCCGCGCTTCCACTCCCAGGCTCCTTTGCCTGCTCCCAGGATGTTTATGAGCTCGGGGCTGGATGTGCCGGAGCAAGCTCTTAACTCCCACTTCGGCATGCTGCTGAGCCAGACACGCAGGAGCTCTTGCACCACAGCGGTGCAGCGCCTGGGGACGGAGCTGCCCTCACCAACCTACTCTGTGGCCGGGCTGGGAGCCCAGAGCTGTGCCCATGGAAGAGTGAACATGGGGGATGCCCCATAGAGACCCCCTCCTTGGCCATATCCCCCTGAAAGGGGGTTTTAGGGAATGGAAGCATCAGAGGGAGGATGAGCACCAGTGCCCCTCCAGCAGCAGATGCAGGAGGTGAATCCAGGTTGGCACATTCCAGGTCATTCCCTTGCAGCTCGGGTGCCTGAGCTCAGTCCTGCATCTCACAGCCATCACCACTGGCATGGCACAACTGGGACCAGATACTTCCCATTTGTTCCATTGCAGTTTTCCTGGCTGCAGTGAATGGGAGCAGCTGCCAATGTTCCGTATGAATGATCTTCATCCTGAGTGATAAGACTAGGGGTGATGAGTGCAAACTTAAACAGGGGAAGTTCAGGTTAGATATAAGGAGGAAGCTCTTTACTGTGAGGGTGATGAGGCACTGGAATGGGTTGCCCAGGGAGGTTGTGAATGCTCCATCCCTGGTGGTGCTCAAGGCCAGGTTGGACAGAGCCTTGGGTGCCATGGTTTAGTGTGAGGTGTCCCTGCCATGGCAGGGGGTTGGAACTGGACGACCTTAAGGTGCTTTCCAACCCAAACCATTCTCTGGTTCTATGATTCTATCTTGCCCCTGGATGAGGCCGGCTCTCGAGATGCTCTTGGGGTGAACGGTGGGCTACAGTCCCCAGCGCTGCCTGACTGCTCTGTCCTCTCTCTTTGCAGCGGTCCTCATGGGCATCTGCCTCGTGTCAGTCACCTACGGAGCCCTCGTCTGCAACGTCCTGTCCATCCAGGTCAAGTACGATGACTACAAGGTCCAGCTGCGGCCGCTGGCCTTCCTCTGCATCGTGCTGTGGCGCAGCCTGGAGATCTCCACGCGCGTGGCCGTCCTCGTGCTCTTCAGCACCGTCTTCAAGCACTGGATCATCCCCATCGCCCTGGCCAACCTGCTGATCGTCTTCTTCATGCCTTGGGTGCAGTTCTGGCGCAGCGGCACCCGCCTGCCCGACAACATCGAGAAGAACTTCAGCCGCGTGGGCACCGTGGTGGTGCTTTGCGCCTTCACCCTCCTCTACGCCAGCATCAACATGTTCTGCTGGTCAGCCGTGCAGCTCAAGCTGGCTGATAGGGACCTCATTGACAAGTCCCAGGACTGGGGCCGCTTGGCTGTGTACTACGTGGCACGGCTGATGGAGAACACGGCCCTCGTCGTCCTCTGGTACTTCTTCAAGACGGATGTCTACGAGAACGTCTGCACGCCGCTGCTGGTGGTGCAGCTGCTCCTCGGCTACTGCCTGGGCATCTACTTCATGCTCCTCTTCTTCCAGTACCTGCATCCCTGCCGACAGCTCTTCCAGCACAACGTTGCTGACTTCTTGCACTGTGTTTGCTGTCGCCGGCGCCCGTCGGGGACCCCTCTGCACCTCGAAGCACCGTATGAGCCTGGTGTGAGGCACAGCATCGTCTGAGGGACAGCCAGCACCCGGCTATGGACGCAGAGATGTGCTGGCAGACGTGGCACAGACCAAGCACTGCTGGCCCTTGGTCCCTGCACATCCCACAGTGCCATGGGGACAGGAACGTGTGTGTGCCTGCCGCGCACATGGACACAAAGGACTTTGGGATGCTCAAACTGCCGCTGCAAGCAGCCGCTGTGCAGTGCACAGCCCTATAGGTGCCCTGACACCCCAAGCTGCCCGCTGCGGTACACACAGTGACCCTGGGGACACGGGGCCAGCGGGACTGTTTTAAGCAGTAAAGAACCTCTGCTGTGGCTGCGTGTCCGGGTGCTGGCACTGACTCATGTGAGGGTGGGACCATCACCGTCGCGCCGGGGCTGGCATGGGTGCGCACCCATTGATTGTGCTCACGGGTACCAAGCAGGGGCTGTGCCAGTGGGTACTGGGGTAAAGGGGGAGCCCCACAATGGAGCCGGGAAGAGGCAGGAGCATGGCAGGAGAGGGGCCTGCCTCATCCTGCACCTCCCTCAGCGTGGCCATGGCTGCGGGCCAGGCGCGAGGCGGTGAGGAGCAATCCTGCCCAACCTGTTCCTCCAGGCCCCAGGTGCTGTTCCCAGCCAAGCACCCAGCACCGCAGGGCTCAGGACGCTGCAGTGGAGGGCAGGCAGGAGAGGAAGGGTGGCTGGCACAGCAGCAGGGATGCTGATGTGACCCGGGCATCCCGGTGCCAAATCAGGAGTGTGCCACCCCCCTCCCCAGCATCCTTTGTGGGGTCAGCTCAGTTAGGAGGATGCTGGTGCCAGGCTGAGGGCGCTCATGGAGGTGCAGCACCGCTGGTGCTCAGTCTTAATTCACCCACCCTGGAGTGGATCCCTGGGTTGGATCCTGGCATCAGCACAGTGCTGGGATGCTTCTCCTCCTCCTCCAATGGTTTCTTGTAGCACAGAGGCAGTGAAGGCTGGTGAGGAAGGCCGGGAGCAGCACAACAGAGCTGAACCCTCTGCACCTTCCTCCCACCAGGAAATTCCCTTCAGAAAAGCCCATTTTGTCCCCAAATAGTGCAAACATGCACAAGGAGCACCCTGATGCCCTGCAGCACCCAGCCATGGTGCCATAGGGAACCCCTCCACGGTGACTGTACCCATCCGGCGCAGGGGACTGATGTCAGGGCTGTCTGCCTGGGTCAGCCCTGCCTTCCTGGAAGGCGGCCTTTGAAACCAGCCCGCATTTCCTCAAAGGCTCCTCAGGGGAAAGTCCCTGAGGAGCTGCTCCCATGGCCGGGGCTGCCGCTGCCTCCATAAAGCCCCGGGCAGGCAGCACCGGACCTGACAGTGCACCATGGGCAACTGGCTGGTCAACCACTGGTTCTCTGCTGCGGTCCTCGTGAGTGTGTGGGGCTGGGGACAATGCAGGGGGCTATGGGGAGCATGGGCTGGGGGGATCGCAGGGGGAAAAGGGGGCTGATGGGCAGGGAGAGACAAGCATCCCCTCTGCTCAGCCAACCTGCAAAGCACCGGTGGCCAGGAAGGGATGGGGCTCCTAAAGCTTAAGGAAAGGGGGGATCCTGAGATAAAGCTTAAAAATGGTATCACTTGCCTGGCTGCTTTGGTTGGGAATGTCTTCTCCCCATGGGAAAGCAGAAAGCTCCTGTGAGAGCCTGCACTAGGTGATGGTGGACACTGTGGATGACTGGTGCTGTGTCACGGCATCACTGCTGTTATGGGGCTCATCTGGGTGGCACCGCTTGGAAGGAGCTGCAAGTGCATGAGAAACGGGGATGTGCAGCTTAAAATCATGGAATGTGTTGGAAGGGACCTTAAAGCTCATCCAGTTCCAATCCCTTGCCACGGGCAGGGACACCTTACACTGGAGCAGCTTGCTCCAAGCCCCTGTGTCCAACCTGCCCTTGAACACTGCCAGGGATGGGGCAGCCACAGCTTCTCTGGGCACCCTGTGCCAGAGCCTCAGCACTCTCACAGGGAAGAGCTTCTGCCTAAGAGCTCATCTCAGTCTCCCCTCGGGCAGGTTAAAGCCATTCCCCTTGGCCTGTCCCTACAGGTCCTTGTCCCAAGCCCCTCTCCAGCTTTCCTGCAGCCCCTTCAGGCACTGGAGCTGCTCTCAGATCTCCCCTTCAGGAGCCTTCTCTTCTCCAGGCTGGACCAGCCCAGCTCTCATCCGGTCATCTTCACTTCTTTAAACTACTTAAAGAAAACAACACAAGACAGAGGGGCTTTGGGAGCTCTCTGTGGCTGTGAGAGAGCTGCTGTGGGGTGCAGCAGGGTTGGGCACAGGCTGGCAGTGCCATGGGGCTGAAACTTCCTCCTCCCAGCGTCTTCCCCATGCAGCCCCAACCACCCTTGGGATATGCACCCACTTTTCCTCCTTCCTTATCAGGGTGATGCACAGGGCTGCAGTGACCCAATGGTCCTTTTGCTAGACTCATCCTCCCCACCTTTGTCCCCATGTGCTGCTGCAGCTCATATGGAGCAGGAAGGGCTGCACTGTCCTGATGCACCCTCATGCTAGGGGCAAAGGAGGGTCCCTCATGAGGCCGCGGCTTGTCCCCACAGGCAGCCTGGCTGGGCATCAACATCTTCCTCTTCACTTACTACTTCCTGTTCTTCGACCGGGATGCGCGGTATTTCTACACCAGGGCCATCCTCGGGGTAAGGTTTTCCCCTGCAGCAACCATGCCCCTTCCTTGTCCTGCCCTCTCCCAGCCTGCTCCATCCCAGTCCACAGCCCATGCTGGTCCCTGTCATGTCTCAGCCCAGCATCACCCCCTCCCAGTCCTTCTCCTTGCATAGGATTGTATAGGTTGGATAAGACCTTTAAGATCACTGAGACCAACTATTCCCCAGCACTGCCAAGGCCACTACTAACCCATGCCACTGAGGGCCTCATCTACATGGATCTGAACACTTCCAGGGTTGCTGGTTCCACCCACTTCCCTTGGGAAGCCTGTTACAATGCCTGACCACCCTTTGGGGGCAAAACTGCCCTTTCCTGGCTCAGCAGCACCCCTCTTCCCAGTCTCCACCCCAGCATCACTCCACCTCCCATTCCCCATGTCAGCATCGCTCAACCCCATCCCGCCCAAGCCCCATGCTGAGCAGCACGGCTGCAGGCAGACGTACCCAACCTGTGGCATGGAACAGCAGCGCTCATCCCTCCTCCTTCTTTCCCCAGTCCGCCTTGGCATGGGCTCGAGCATCAGCCAAGTGCCTCAACTTCAACAGCATGCTGATCCTGCTGCCCGTGTGCCGCAACCTCCTCTCCTTCCTCCGCGGGACCTGCTCGGTGAGTGCTCCACGGTGGCACAGCCATCCCCATCCCTATCCCCATCCCTATCCCCATCCCAAGCCCCTGCCTGTCCCTCAGTGCTGCCGGCGGACACTGCGGAAGCAGCTGGACCACAACCTCACCTTCCACAAGCTGGTGGCGTACACCCTGGCCCTGCTCACAGGTACTGCCCTGCGCAGGCTGGGGTATGGTGGGGACCGGGAGGTGACCATGCAGTGACTGCCTGTCCCCTGCCAGCCGTGCACACCATTGCCCACCTCTTCAACCTGGAGCGCTACAACGGCAGCCAGCAGGCCACGGACAGCAGCCTGCCCGCTGTCCTCTCCAAGATGCACCTGCAGGGCAGCAACAAGTGGCTGAACCCCATCCACTCCAACCAGACGGTGAGCGTGACCCTGGCATCCAGCTCCCCATCACCACCAGCCCCTGCATCCCTAACCCATCCTGCTGTTCCTATAGACCGTCGAGTACGTGACCTTCACCACCATCCCAGGGCTGACAGGGGTCATCATCACACTGGCACTCATCCTCATGGTCACGTCCTCCACCGAGTTCATCCGCAGGAACTACTTTGAAGTCTTCTGGTACACGCATCACCTCTTCATCATCTACTTTGCTGGGCTTGTCATCCATGGCATCGCGTAAGGCCCTGGGCAGCAGGGAGTTGGGGTCCCCATTCCCAGTTGGCTTCACGCATTGAGGCTAAACCCTGAACAAGGGGACATGAGCCGGGCTCAACCTTCATCTCCCCACAGCGGGCTGGTGCGTGGACAGACAGAGGAGAGCATCAAGGAGGTGCATCCACACCACTGCGCCCAGTACCTCACACACAAGGACAAGCACTGCAACCATGACTGCTGCAAGGACCCCGAGTTCGGGAGCATCCCTGCCGAGGTAGGGCAGTGCTGGGATGGAGGCAGGGGGAGAAGCTCTTCCCTTTCCCTTGGGATGCTCCAGCCCTTTGCTCTCCTCCATCCCACAGTCCTGGAAGTGGGTCCTGGCCCCTGTCCTCCTCTACATCTTCGAGCGGATCTTGCGGGTCTGGCGTGCGCGGCAGAAGGTGGTTGTCACCAAGGTGTGTGGAGCAGGAGCACGTGTTGAAGCTCCTTGCCATGATGGCCATGGGGAGATGGACAGGAGCCATTCTGGGTGCTGAGCCCCATCCCTCCCCATAGGTGGTGATGCACCCTGCTCGCGTGCTGGAGCTGCAGATGCAGAAGAAGGGGTTCCGCATGGAAGTGGGGCAGTACATCTTTGTCAACTGCCCCTCCATCTCCCTGCTGGAGTGGCATCCCTTCACCCTCACCTCTGCGCCCGAGGAGGACTTCTTCTCCATCCACATCCGAGCGGCTGGAGACTGGACCGAGCGCCTCATCGACACCTTCCAGCAGCAGAAGCTGGAGATGCCCAGGTAGGCTGCAGCCCACTCAAATGGGCTGATGTGGGGAGGCCCAGCTTCTTATCCAGATCATTCCCTGGCCAGGATCGAGGTGGATGGTCCCTTCGGCACAGCCAGCGAAGACGTGTTCCAGTATGAGGTAGCTATGCTGGTGGGAGCAGGTATCGGTGTCACCCCTTTTGCCTCCGTCCTGAAGTCCATCTGGTACAAGTTCCAGCAGGGTGACCAGACCCTCAAGACCAAGAAGGTACGGATTTTCCCATGGGAGCAGCGTGGGTTCGTTTGACACGTCATCCTTCCATCCCTCCTGCTCTGCTCTACTGCAAGCAATCCCTTTCTGCATCCCAGATCTACTTCTACTGGCTCTGCCGGGACACAGGAGCCTTTGCCTGGTTCAATGACCTGCTTGCCTCGCTGGAGCAGAAGATGGCCGAGTCGGGCAAGGCTGACTTCCTCACCTACCGCCTCTTCCTCACTGGCTGGGACACCAGCATTGTGAGTTGACCATGGGCAAGGCAGGGACATGGGGTGGCCCAGGAGAACCATGGCAATGGCTTGCAGGCAGTGGCGTATGGTGGGCATCAGCACTGGATGCTCCTCCATGGTGGGGGACCATTGCTGGGCCCAGGGGTGGTGGCAGGGTCCTCACTGCCCTGCTCTGGCCAGGCCAACAACGTGGCGCTGCGCTTCGACACTGCTGTGGACACAGTGACGGGGCTCAGGCACAAAACCATCTTCGGGCGGCCCATGTGGAACAGTGAGTTCACAGCCGTGGCTGCAGCACACCCCAGGTGAGAGCAGGGCAGGGGGCTGAGGGTGCTGGGGGCACCCATCCTCCCTGAGCCCTTACCTGGTGCTGATGCCCCCATGCTGTGTGCAGGTCGGTGGTTGGTGTGTTCCTCTGCGGGCCGGGGGCCTTGGCGAAGAGCCTGCAGAAGTCTTGCCACCAGCACTCCAGCCTGGACCCCAGGAAGGTCAAATTCTACTTCAACAAGGAGAACTTCTAAGAGGCAGCCAGAATGGGAGCCCCGCGGGCAGGGGACCACGCATCTCACCTCATCCCCCGTGCCTGGGGTAAGCATCTCCTGATGGGTACATGCACTGAAGCCAGGCGAGACAAGGCAAGAATCCTTCTCCATGAGAAACTTGAGGGTCAAAGACTGCTCGGCATGGATCCCCATTGATAAACCAGAGGCACATGCTGCGATGATGCTGCTGCAGCAGTGGGAAGAAGCAGGAGCACCCAGCAGGCTGGGCAGAACTGTGGGACGGGGAGGGGACATGGCTGTGCTGAGCAGGCACTGGGGATAAGCGTGTCCCTCCGGGTTTAAGCAGTCCTCTGCGTGAAAGGGCACATTAAACCTGATTTCATTTGCACTAAAGCCTCTGTGTAGGTACTCTTCCCCCCTCTGCTGCGCTCGGGGGAAGACCCCCACTGCAGTCCTGATCCGACTCTGGAGCAACAGCACAAGAGAAGAGGGACTTGCAGTTGGAGTGAGTCCAGAGGCCATGGAGATGCAAGGGCTGGAGCAGCTCTGCTCTGGAGCCAGGCTGAGACAGCTGGGCTGGGTCAGCCTGGAGAAGAGAACGCTCCTGAAGGGGAGACCTGAGAGCAGCTCCAGTGCCTGAAGGGGCTGCAGGAAACCTGGAGAGGGGCTTGGGACAAGGGATGGAGGGACAGGCCAAGGGGAATGGCTTTAACCTGCCCGAGGGCAGACTGAGATGAGCTCTTAGGCAGAAGCTCTTCCCTGTGAGGGTGCTGAGGCGCTGGCACAGGGTGCCCAGAGAAGCTGTGGCAGTGTTCAAGGGCAGGTTGGACACAGGGGCTTGGAGCAAGCTGCTCCAGTGGAAGGTGTCCCTGCTCATGGCAGGGGTTGGAGCTGGATGAGCTCTGAGGTCCCTTCCAACACAAACCATCCCATGATCCAAATGCAGCTCACACAAAGGCACCAAATCCTGCTCCAGCATATGCAGGGAAGAGGGAAAACCACCCTCCCCGAGCAGGCTGGAGTGGTATCCGATTGCTGTATCACTTACAGGATAGAAAGCCGAGCTCCCCACCCTGCCCTTTGCTTACCCCCTGTGGAGAGCTGTGAACAGCATGGCACATCAGGAATCCATCCTTGCTCTGGTGCTGGGAGAAGAGAGGAAGGCGAGTGGTTTGTATTAGCCTGGATGCTCCCAGAACCGAACAGTCCCATTCGGCCTTCATGAGAGACCAAACAAGGCAACCAGAGACATGACTTTATTCAAACCCTCCTCCCACTTTATTTCAAACATTCATAAAATATACACATAGGAAAACACAAAGATGAATGGGAAAGGAAAATGTGAGGGGGGGAGGAGAAACCTCTCCCAAACGCAGCATCAGCTCAGACAGCAACGGGAAGCAGCTGCCATGGAGCATCACCTTCACCACACACCAGCCAGTGCTGCAAGAAGGAAGCAGAAGAGTGAGCCCAGCATTGAGAGGAACAACAGAGCCCCACTTTGAGCTCTGGTTCACTGAAGGGGAGCAGGCAGAGGCTGGGTTAAGGACATCACCTTGTCACGGTGCTCCTGTGGACTTCTGGATTTGCTCCTTCAGAATGAGGATGCTCTGGCGCTGCTCCGGGGGCAGCATGGCGATCTGGTCTGCTGTCAGCTGCAGAACCTGCATGATCAGAGCTGCCTGTGGGGACAGGGGACAGTCAGAGACAGGGTTACCAGAGCCAGGAACGGCTGCTCCCACCACCGTGAGGCACATAGGAAGTGCTGCTCCCAGTGTCTCACCCTTTCGCTTTTGGCCTCTCACCTTCTCGTGATCCTGGGGGGTGACCTGGCTCTGCCCAGGGCTAAAGCCTCCGGGCTGACCAGCTCCCTGGACTCCTGCTCCGGGAATGCCTCCTCCCTGCATGCCTGCCCCTGCCATGTTAGGAACCTGTGAGCGCAAGAGATGAGGTAAGGACCAAGGAGTCACTGGACTCAGCCATGTGAATACAGGAACATAAAGCAGATGATCCGATGGACGCCCTCATGGCCAGCCTGAAGACACCAGAGCATGAAGACACATGGGTTTTATGAACTCTCCTGCTCCTCCAACTCCTGCACATCAAAAGGAGGTGGAGAGGCCCAAGCCCTGTCCTGTCCCCAACAGATGGGCAGTGCCTGTGGAGATGGGTGGATGCCCTGACTCCTTAAGAGCCACCAACCAAAGGCTTGCACTGCCAGAGGTGCTGCTGCTGCAGGATGTGATCAATCCCCACCCAGCCCCTATCTACAAGACACCACCAGCATCCAACTGAGCAGAGGTGCTGTGTGTACCTGGCGGGGCCCCTGCGGGCCACTGGCTCCCATGCTAAGCGGCCCAGGACCCTGTATCCCACCAGGCATGGGGCCACGTGGGTTGGGACCAGGCCCTCGAGGCTCCAAGCCCCGTTGCTCCATGACCCTGGCCTCCATAGCCCTGGCTTCCAGCACTCTTGGCTCCAGCCCTCGCGCTTCCAGGGCTCGTGCTTCCAGGGCTCGTGCCTCCATCACCCGGGGCTCCAGCCCTCGTGGTTCCAATCCTCGTGGCTCCAGCCCTCGGGGATCTCTCCCAACTGCAGAGGAAAGACAAGGCAAGATGTTGGAGAAAGCAGTGATTCAGGGAGCATGGAGCAAGTTCCCTACCTCCTGTGTCTGGGGGCTAGAAGGTGCAGGCCTTGGGGCAGAGGGGACATGCCTGGAAGAAGACTTTTACCCCATGGGACTGTCCCTCCTTGCCCTGGAGTCAGTTGTTCCACTGCCCAAACCCCTTCCTGTGTCTCCTGCTGGGGCAGTGGGCTCCATTCTGACTCCTTGTCTGTGCTCTTTAAAGCCACCCATTATTTCATGCCCCCTCTCTCACCTCGAGCATCCATCAAGGGCCCCCGCGGCTCTCCCATCAGTGGTCGGGGTTCTCCCATGGGTCCCCCCCTCATCTCATGAGGGGGGCCCCGGCTGTCATGCCCAGGCATATGGTGCATAGGGGCTCCTTGGTGGGGCGGCCCAAGGTAACCTCTGACGCAGAGAGACGAGAAGAGCAAAGCAGGAGGAGGAGAAAAAGCGAGAGAGTTGTGAATCAGACTTGGCTGGCTTGGCACGGCCTGGGCAGAGTGCTGGGATGTGCCCCCGAAGCCGGGCGCAGGGGAGGAGGGTGAGGCTGGCACAGGGACAGGCGCTGTGAGCCCCATACCACAGGGCTGCTGCCACCACCCCGGGGATGCCCCGTCCCCGGGGAATCGGGCCAGCCCCCATGGGCAACACCACACACGGTGCCATCCCTGTCCTCAGCGAGAGGTCACCCTTGGGCAGGGGATGGTGCCAAGAGCTCCTCTCCTTCCCTCTCCCCTCACCTGGGCTCCACTTCTCCAGTGACTGAGAGCAGGGTCCCTCCGCGAGGGTCATTCGGGGCATCTCCCAAAAGGCCTCGGGGCGGCGGGCCACTAGCAGGTAGAGGTCCACGCTGCATAGGGGCCCTCGGGTCTGGCATGGGCACTGCCAGGGAGACACACAAGAGCTCGTGAGGATCTGCATGACCAGTGCGGTGCTGACACTGTCCCCCAGTGCTCTTGGGGTCTGGGGCAGCCCCACACTGCTCCCCTGGTGCGGGTGGGTGAGCCGTGCTGACTGCCAAGGGGGCAGCCCCTCACACAGGGCCACAGCGCACCAAAACCCCTTCTCTGGCTGCTGGCTTCATCCCTCTCTGGCTCTGCCTCAGGGTTCTTATAGCTCCAAGTGGCCAAACTAAGCATGGGTGCCCCCATGGCAAGCCCTACAAGCACAGGCATCAAAACCCTGCTGATGTGGGGCCAGGAGCAAAGCAAGACCTGGTAGTGAGGTGTCAAAGGGGGCTGGATCCTAAACAAAGGTGCTCTCAAGCAGGCTCCCCGTTTCTACTAGTGCCTGGCCCTAGCCTGTTCTCTCCTCCAGCCCCAGAGGACGCCTTGCCTCCTCCTCTCAAGCAGGGCACACAGAGGGACCTGGCAGCCCCTGAGCACAGCGGAGGGAGCGCTGCTCTCTGCACACTCCACACGAGCTCCATGGCAGCAGGGAGCAGGCGGATACTGGGATACCTTGAACGCGCTCGATAGACGCAGGCCTGGCAGGTCCCACGGGCGAGAGCTGCAGGTTCCCTGGGCAAGCAGCAGGAAGAGAGGGAGAAGAGCAGACACGTAAATAGTGTATGCACACATGCACTCAGCTCTGGGACAGTGCAGGGTCACCTCCGCTCCTCGAGTCCCCTAGGAAAACCTATGGGGATGCTCATCTGGCTTGATCAACCTCTTCCACTACAGGTGTGACAGACTGCTTGGCACAACCCTTCCCTCACTCACTGTGTGACATGCAAGGCAAGAGGACATCCTGCTGAGACAACGGGCATGCTGCAGGGCCATGCTGTGCCCCACGATGCACAGCCAGCTCCTGCCCCTGCTCACAGCTCCCCACAGCACTCCCCAGTGCCAGCTTTCTGCCTGCTCCAAACCTTCTGGGTGCCAAGAACTACCTGGTTGCTCTCAGGAAGATGGTGCCCACCCCAAAGAAAACAAAGAGTCCAATGCCCCTAAGACCAGAGGGGCTCAGAACAGGTTCCTTGAAACAAGGCCTATGATACAAGTCAAGGCAACAGGGGTGTCAAGTGCCTGCGTGCCTCATTACTGGGAGAACGGGAACCCGGCGGGTGCACCGTAAGGAATCCGGCTGCGGGGCTGGGCCGTACAGACCGTGCCTGCGGAGGGAAAGGCAAGCATCATTCCCTGGGAAGTTCCCTGCCAAGCCTCGCCCTCTCGGTGCATGCAAAAGCGAGGGCCCAGCTCCCTCTGCCGGGCACGGCGACGCGGCTGCAGCTCAAGCTGCTTCCCAGCACCCAGGCAGCGGAGGAGCAGGACAGGGACCAGAGAAGGGCAAGCTCTGCCGGCCTGCACAAGCACAGGGACAGACACGGGCTCACAGAGAGGTGGAAAACACAGGCATGTCCCCCTCGGTGGGCTCTGCAGGGGCTGGCAGCTCTCCTGGCTTCCAGAGCACAACATGGCACAGAACAAAGTGGTGTGTGTGTTGTTGGGGAGCAGGAGAGCTGGTGCCGCAGCCTTGCGCCTAAGCGAACAGACGCAGGTACAGGGATGGGAAGGCTGCAGGGAGCTGGCAGGGGCTCTTGGTGCAGCTCTGCTCAGCATCCATAGCCCGGTCCTCACTGGAGGCTCACAGGGCACACAGCACTGACCCATGTGCGTTTTACCTTGTCCACGCTCCAATGGGACAGGTCCTCCACCTGGCATCCCAACCTGCGGCTGCATCCCACCTGAGGGGGAACAGGAAGAGATCAGAGCCCTCCTCAACCATCCCT